CCTCTAGACTTCTTAGCTTTTTTTTCTTATTATCTTTTAAATTATTAATTATTAATTTCTATAGTAAGTATTATAAGCTTATTATAGGTAGTAGGTTTTTCTTTCCCAATTATAATATCTTTAACTTCTAATTTTAATTCTTAGTAGAAGCTTGCTATAAAGGCCTCTTCTCTCTAGTTAAGTTATAATATAGAGTTGTAGTATTTAGCTGCATAGGTAGATATAGCTCCTTTCTATTTAAGCTTCTAGATTTGCTATTTAGCTATTTATTTTTCGTCTTAGAAGCTATAAAAGCTTTTAAGCTTATACTTAAAGATTATATAACTTTTATAAATAGCCTTAGTTTCTTTTTTTTACTAATTATAGATATTGTTAACATAGTCTCTTATAATAAGTTTAAACTATTGTAGGGCTTTATCCTTGAGGAATCCCATTTTATATCGGACCTTGGCTTTATCTATTCCAAACTATATTAGATAGTATAGTTAGTAAGCTTGCAGCTGCATAAGGAATCCCTATAGGTCTATTACTATGCTGTTGTAAGGGTCGGGCTGGTATAGCCGAAGGATTTCTCTAGTATTCTTACCTCTAGCTATATTAGATGCAGTATTTTTAATAAAGTCCTTGTATATAGATTTCTATCTAATGAGTTCTGCAGCGAGTTTGTTATTATATTCGAGCAGTTTCTTATATTATTCTATTAGGATGTTAATTTGCTGCTGCTTGTTTTCCGCACTTGCCTTGGAGGCGTCGAGGAGGTTATTGAGCTAGTTGGATAGCTTCTTGTTAGCCTTTTTAAGGCTCTTTATATCTTTTTAAATAACCTCCTCTTCTTCTTCTTCTTCTTTTAAGATAATATTAATATTACTATTATAGTTAGTACTTGGATTTTTTAAGAAAGAAGAAGTAATAATAAAAGTTATAAAAGCTATAATAACTAATTTAAGATATTACTTAGGTTAATGTAATAATATACTAAATAAGAGCTATTAATATATAATAATTAAGTTTAATCTAGGGGTATAGAGTAAATTTAAGATATAGAATATATAATTAAGTAAATTAGAATATTATAATAAGTAATATAAAATTATAATTTAATAATAGTAGGATAGTAAATTTAATATAATTAAATATATTAATAGCTAGTAAGGCTATCTATTTATAAAAGTATTAAAAGAATATTTATATATTATAGTAAATTATAGAGATTATAGTAGTAATTCTAGTAAGTTATTATCTTGGATTATAAGGATTATAGTAGTAATTCAAGTAATTCTTTACTTAATTAGTTCTTATATTAGGAATTGCTAGATTATAGGAGTAATCTAAGTAATTCTTTGTTAATTAGAGGAAAATAAAAGTAGGGCGTTATGGTTCTACTGCTTGAGACTGCCTAGTCTCAACCTGGGCTGTAATATTAAGCTACTTCTAGATAAATAATATTAGTAGAATTGCTATAGTAATATATTATATAATAAATAAAAAAAGCCTCTACTTTATAAGTAGAAATATAGATACTCTATTAATAATCTGCTATTATTTACTAATAGTACTTCTAATAGCCAATATAAATAAAAAGCTTAATATAGTTAAAAAATAATCTTATTAGTATATCTTTCTTATTAGTAAAAAGATAAAAATAAGATATATTTTTAAATTTAAAATTTAATAAACTTAGCAGCTAGTTTACCAGCTTTTAATTAATACTATTATTAAAATTAATATTAAAATAGCAGAACTCTAAAGTAAACTAGTTAATACTTATCTATAAATCTAGTCCTATATAAAAGGAGTTTCCTAACTAAAATACACTACTCCCATATAACAATTATATCTTCTAATCTGCCGTAGATATAGTCTAGAGTAGATAGAAGGCTAGTTGCTAGTAGATAAACTATAGGTTTATGTTAGCAGAGCAGTTAGGGCATCACTTATAGAATAGGTATTACATCTAGTAATAGTCAAGCACAGTAATGTGTAGCGAGTCAAGGTGATTGAGGTAACCAAGTTGTATTGATAGCTGAGTAGCTGCCCATAGTGAATGTACACTACTCGGTCGTTTATATACTAATATAATCGGGTATAATCACCCTCGTGGTGATCATAATTACTGGTGATCAGAGGTGATCACAGAGTGATCACCGTGATCGTGATCACTGCTGGCTAAACTATGTTCCGTTCCGGGAGGCTGAGAAAAGTGGGGCTGCGCCCGGGGCCTGATGCAGGTCGCGGCCAGGCCGTAACATCCCGTCATCAGCAGGAATATCTAAACCGGCGTTAGAACTATTAAAAAGGCTATTTCCAGATAAGCTAATACTGAGTTAAGAGAGTTAGTAAGCTGAGCCAGAGAGGGCGAAGGCAGCCAAGTCCTCTACTATATATTCTAACCGCTCGACTCTATTATAAAGCAGCTGGTGGCTCATAATAGATTCTCGCGGTACATTATAGATATATATGACTCCATGACGGGCACAGTTGTTACAGGGCCGCACCTTGTTGCAGCGAATCTTGCGACGGCGACAAGCAGTGCAGGGCCTGTTGAAGTTGAGAAGGTCGCTCGATATGTTGTCACAAGAGTTGATGGAGCTGATCAGGCCACCCTACCAAGGCCGTCTCCCGACTACAATTGACCGCCCTTATATTCGGGGGACGCGAGGTGTGGATTGTGAATGCCAGAACGGACGGGGAGATAACGGGAACGCCACACCAGTAATACAAAGTAGGGGATCGTGTGAGAATTCTGTGTATGGGGAGTGGGGACCAATACTAACACTAGTGCACTAAGCCGAACGTTGTTCTATCAGTGAAGCGAGTAAAGTGGACTGTATTAACGCTTGCTTCGGCCTCATTCGACTTTCGTCTAGCCCCCGCGCCCCACCTGGATCTAGCCCAGCGGTGACCCACATTGGATCGTTGTTTGGACTAGTTAATTGGCCCTCTGTCCAGTGGCTTGCGGGGGACTACGGCCGCCCCGACGCCACTCGGCCTTGACATTCTCCGTCTTGCCGCGAGGGGCTCCAACCGCGAAGATCAGTGTCATCGAACCTCCGTTGTCTCACCACATAGAGTTTCTACTATGAGAGTCGGTGTAAGTAAGCCTCTCTTGATGCGCAGCTCGGACTCTGTTGAAGCTCCGTCCTAAAGCGAGGAGCTTCCTCAACGCGCGGCTCGGGCTTACCAATTCCCTGCAGTACACAGCTCGGTGTTGCTAATTCCTCGGCTTAGTGAGGGCTAGCAGCCCCTACAGTCAGGTTGGTCTTGATGATCCTCCGTCTTGTAATCAGGAGCCAGTGTAGCGCGAGTCCCGGTACTGATATTTCTCCATCTTAGTAATGACTAGAAGCCCCTGATGTGAGAGTCGGACTTGTTGAACCTCCATTCGCGCGCGGCTCTGTGATAGTGACCGTTCGTCCCGTACCGAGAAGCTATTTTGCCACACACATTTCCGTCTTGCTAAGCATCCGTCTTGTGGTGGGAGGCTCGTATTGTGCGCGGCTTGGTCTTCGTATATCCATTTCCAATAGCTCTCGGCCCAACACCTCCGTCCCGATTGTATGTGCTTGTTGTAGCTTGGGGTTCTAATGTGCGCTTCGTCCTTGCTGAATCTCTGTCTGGTAGTCTTAAGTGTAACTACAAGTCGATGTTTTGCTGCTGATGTTTGTAGCTTGGGAGTCTACCTCGTGTTGGTCTTTTGAGGTTCCTGTCATGTTGTTCTCAACCCAACCAAACATCCGTCCCGTAGCTTGTGCTCTCCGCAACTCCCCAAATTCTACCTTGAGGCTCCACCACATAGTTGGCTCAACTGTATGGTGCCTTCGCCTTGCTCGCGGTGGAACTCTATCTTACTAGACCACTCTTTATTAGTTCGGGCTCCTTGTCCGCCTCCGCATACTCCAGCTCTCTCAACTTTTCAATGTTTATTTAAGTAACCTCCCCCCACCTCCACACCTCCCAAATTGCTCAATGCCACGCCAAATCACAGCTCAAACCACTTCCGGGCATTGCATCTGATATTCCCTCTCCTCCTTGCCAGAACATATTGGCTAGTGTCAGAGACCGCGGGAAGATTGAAGCGTCATCTGTGCCGATGAGGCCTGTTTACAACGCGAACTTCAACAAAGGCATAGTCTCCGCCACGATTTTCTGCGACAGTACAAGGCCGAAATGCTAATTCTCCACTTCATATAACGCAGCCAAAATTTGTAATCAAGACTTTTTTTTTTCCGACTCCTGAAAGCGCTTGAAAGCGCGAAGCGCGAGACGACCACCTTTTAGTTACTAAGCTAGGTTTCAGATGAACACCGGAGACCTCCGGAGGCCCGGTGTGACAAATCATGAATATCAATTTGATCATAGGATCATAGATTTCCGGATCAGGTCATAAGAATCGATCCTCCCTTTAAGACCCACAGGATCCTAGCAGCTTCCGGCCCCTCTCTCCTAAGATAGAAGAAGGCTCCTCTTATTTGAATGTGACAGTTAATTCACTCCAATATCTGACACTAAGTGGGGTCCTGAGCTATGTCAAGCTGACTCCAAGACTGACCTGTGAGTATTTGAAGCGGCCCATTGCCCACGCTCTACTTACATACGTTTCAATTACATACGGTCCTAACCAGTTCGAACTTGATTCACCCAAAGACCACACACGGATAGGCGACTACATCTAACCATGGAAACCATTCTTGTTGTCGGGGCCAGCGGAAACATCGGCGTGTCCGCCGTCAAGGCTGCCCTTAATACCGGGCGCAACGTCCTTGCGGTGGTGCGAAATCAAGCCAGTACCAGCAAGCTTTTCAAGCACGTTGGGACCTCCCAAGGAATAACAGCTGTCGAAGCGGATGTCACGTCGCCCGATGGTGTCCAGTCTGTTGTGGACCGTGTCCTGAAAGGAGAGCTGCCTCCCTTCCACCACGTTTATTCCTCAGGTATTTGCAGCAGGTGCTCGAGGTGCGGAATTGGACTAATAAAGTGACAGTTGGAACCTTCGATCTTACATCACCTATAACAAAATTGGACACGCAAGCATTTCGGAGAACCATGAATATCAACTTGGAGGCAAACTTCTGTAAGTGGAGCATTTTACATTGCTCAAGGCATTATTAAATTCTGACTTGCCGAAGTCACTTATAGTGCGACCATCCCATATTTGCTTCAACAGAAACATGCGAAAGTACTTGGACCCTGGTTACAGGTGCGGCGGGCGACAGCGGTGTAAGTGCCAAAAAGGGATCCTGACTTGTCTTGGGCTGTATCGTGCTGATTCTCTATAGTGGGGAGGCGTGACTGCAATCGGGCAAGGAGCTTTGTTCTCTCTGGCAAACGTTACTTGTCGAGAACTTACGGGTACCAACATTCGTTTTAACGAGATGTAGCTCGCATTTCGAGTTGATCATGACGAGGTTGCGAAAGAGAAGGACGGTAGGAGTATCGAGTCGTCTGTATTAGCTCCGCATTATGGACAGATTCTTGCCCGACCCGAAATTTCAGCCAGCCGCGTTAGCCTTCTTAGGCCTGAAGACATTAAAAACCTGAAGTTTCAGAAGAAGTTGGGTTAAGAAAAGAGCAGGGCAAAAATATGCAGTATTTCAGGCATTACGTTCTTATTATAGCTTGGTGTTCCTTAAAAAGAAATGCTTATTAGTTAACTAAGTCAGACCACCCACTAACCGATCACCCCCTTAGTCGACCACCTTTCCCCACCAAAATCGATTAAAATGCTATTATTTATTTAATTATAGAAAATAGCTATAATATTTTAGAAAATCTATATCCAAGTGGGTCGGGCAATTCTTTCTTCACCCTGGCCAACGCGAGATGGTAAGGTGGGGCCGGGGAACGCCCGTGTCCCGCCCAGTTGCTAGTAACTCCTGCAGGCCGGTCTTGGCGTTCCCCGAAGTGCCGAGGGTGTGCGGGACCGAATTCGTAAGCTAGCGTAATGGCTACATCACGGCTGTCTCGGCCTCTGCTTTCTTCCTGCTGAACAGCCAATAAGGCTAGGCTAATGCTGAGGTGTGCGTAATTTTGTCGTAGTTGTCTTATCGAGCGCCTTTTAGTTCCGGATCAGCAGCTACATGCATACAGTGGCTGTCCTTGGATAGTGCACTCCTCCGCACTTGGCAACGTAAAAAGGTGGGGCATGGCAAAGGCAATTCTACCAGGATACTCGGACAATGCCAAGCCCGACTCTCGAGCGCTTGCCGTCACCTCCATCTCCTGGGACGTTCTTGCCTCCTGATTTATTAGCTAAACCTTGTCTGAACCCTGTACAACATGACCCCATCTTGGAAACTCGGAATGCCGATCTGATGCCGCGAGCTAATGCTGAGGTATTTTAGCTCACAAATTCTAACTGCAATGGCTGGTAAGCCATATTTGTAGCAAAGTTTAAGTGTCCGATGCAAACTATAAGAATCTGTCATCCCGACTTTAGCAGCGCCTTTATTTAAAACAGTCTTCTACCATCAATCAATTGCAAATTACGGGAATATCGGCAGCTTTTTTCTCTACAATCAACTATGTCTAAGCTCATTACGGTTTTTGGTGCCACTGGTAACCAAGGAGGTTCCGTTATTAAGCACATTCTCAAGGATTCTCAGCTCTCCAAGGAGTACAAGATTCGTGGTATTACGCGCGACACCTCCAAGAAGTCCGCTCAGGATCTTATCAAGCAAGGTGTTGAAGTTATGTCGGTACGATTTCCCCTTCCTGAACCCTGATTGTCGCTGTAATTTGACAAATATAGGCCGATTTGAACTCTGTCGACTCTTTAACCGCTGCTCTGAAGGGGTCCCACACTGTTTTTCTGGTCACTAATTACTGGGAAACTGCAAACGGCGATATTGAATATGCCCAAGGCAAGAACGTGACTGATGTCGCTAAAGATGTTGGCGTGTCATACCTCATCTTTTCATCACTCCCCCATGTCACGGACGAATCTAAGGGGAGATTAACCCACGTTCCTCACTTTGACAGCAAAGCCAACATCGAGAGGTATATCCGAGCCTCTGGAATCCCAAGCACCTTTGTGCTTCCAGGTTACTACATGAGCAACTACACCCAGATGCTCACCAAGGCCGCCGACGGATCATATCAACTTTTTTACCCCGTCGACGGCAAAAAAACCAAGTTTCCTCTCTTTGACGCCGCTCAAGACACTGGTGAGATATCCTAGACTGCATTCTTAAGGCTGAAACTTACCACTTATAGGCCTATTTGTGACAGGGGTCCTCAAACATGCGGACAAACTGCTGGAAAAGCAAGTCCTGGAGGCTACTGCCTATTACACCCCCGAAGAGATTGTTGATACTTTTTCTAAGATCACTGGAAAAAAGGCGTCTTTCATCAAGGTTACTCCTGAGCAATATCGTGCGTCGTTGCCGGAAGCTATCGCTGAAGAATACTTGGAGAATCAACTGTTTGTCGAAGAGCCTGGCTACTTCCTTGGACAAAGCCTAGATGATAGCCTGAAGCTGTTGGACTCGAAGCCTACTACCTGGGCAGAGTTTGTTGAAAAGAATGCTGCGTCCTGGGATTAAATTTTGCTGCGAAACCGGGAATGGAATGGGTTGGATTGCGGCTTGGGTGTTGTTGGCTGCTTGATAACAGATTAAATATATGAAGTGTTGAAATTGGCTTTGGAATCTTGATAATTGGGTCTATAAAAGCTAGTCTATAGCCGAAGACAATAGTAAGGGCAGAGATCAACAGAAGTCACAGCACCATCACTACTAGCCATCTGCTACCTAATTAAATAAGAAAGATTTCACATATACAAGACTCATATAATTAGAAATCCCATTTCTGCTAATATTAACTGCCTTTCGTATTCCAAATTACAACCACGCTGTAAAGAAGATAAGTGGCTTTAGTAATATAAAATTTATTAACAATTAACAATCTTCGAAAAGTATCTAATAACATTGGATCCATAGTATATAAATACAACGCGAAATTTTAAAGACGGGGGAAAAACAGACGCTTAATCCACCATCTCGCAACCATATTATCCATGTACAGGAATCAACCAGATCCTTTCTAACCACTTAACACCTAAGTCATTTCTTGTTCCTGTTCTCGCGGAAGAAATCCTCCAACTTGGTCCACATCAGGTCGGGATATCTGCTATTATCCAGTGGCTCAAGTTTTCCAGCCCCAGACATCATGTTCACCATGTATTGCATGCCTTGCCAAGCGGGAAAAATATCGGTTTCGCCCCCGAAAAATTACGCACTCTGGCCTCGTGAGACACCAACCACGTACCACACTATATAGTACCCCGGAAAGTTGGATAGGGGTCCGAATTTGCTGTTTAGCTTGGTTGGACTTTAACTCGGCGAGTTGGTTAACCAACGCATGTTTGATCGACCTCCAAGCTTCGAATAGGCCCAATGTAGATACTTTGAGATGACTCTTGAGTAGCCAATGAATACCTTCGACCCGTGAAGTAACAACATTGTCAAAGTGAAGATGTTGATTAACCCAAGCTTTAACTAGCTTCTCTTTGTATTGATCAAGCCAGTTCGTTTTGACGTATCTTACTTCTTCGATATATAGTCTGGAAGATAGTTTTGCTCGAACTTTGATATACGTTCACGGAATATCTGTTCGTTTGGGGACCTGATAATCGAATACCAATGGCTATAGAACTCTTTCCAGGCTTCCGCTCCCCCGTTGTCTCCTTGGAATTGGCGTGTGAATCTTGGTTGATAGTAACGAAGAACTGCTTTATTGGCATGCCAGAGATATAGAAGCGGACTAGATGATGGAAAGTATGTAATGACGGCGTTCATACACGCTATGCAGCGATCTGTCAGGACGACAGATGGATATTTGATCTTTTTATCACATAGTGATCTGAAACCGGTCCAAGACCCAAAAATAGTCCTGTTCACATTCGCCGCTCAAGAAAGCAAAAGCAACGCAAAAAGATCGCTGACCAGAGTCGACTCCGATCAAATCCAGGAGCGGCATTCCGTACTTGTTCGTTTTATATATACAGTCCAGTATCAGAACGTCTGGATAAGCTTGGAGGTATGCCACCGAGTCGGGGTGAGCAAATAGAACAGCCTTGACTCGGCCATCTGAACCAGTTTGGAACTGACTCCAGAATTCTTCTCTAAATAGTTGATCAGTAAGCGTATTGATGCTGTTTTGTCCCTGGCGAACTTCTCGTCTGGCATCTGCAATACGATTATAGATATCTTGCTGTATTGCTATCGTGTCGGTATTTTGGCGCATGTATGTTCTGATTTCTTTTGGAGCTATGCCAGCATTCGTAAGGCGCGTTAATTGAGATTGGTCTTTTTTAGACAGTGTCCGTAGTATTGGATGGGCAGTGGCGTCTTGACTTGGCTCATGGTTATGTAGCGCGAATCGTTTGTCAGAACGGTGACGTAAAATCCAGGTAGTCTTGTCTCGGGACTCTTTCCCTATTACCGAGAATTCGCAGCCTGTCACATATCAGCCCTGCCCCACTACAGCAGCTTCCTGGGAGGCAGCTGCTACTGCCTAAACAGGCAATGTTTTCATTTGTGTATAAAGAGCTGCACGACTCAGTGCATCTTGTCATTGAGTTCTTGATCGTTAGATAATTCTCATCAATTGACTGGTGCCATCAATGATCCCTGTGGAGCCAATTGTCCGACATTGACTTATACACTACTTTTAACGGTAACCTCACGCGGGCCACACATGGCACATGACATCTACATGGCGTCGGCCCTCACTCTCCCTCTCCGTTGCACTTATTTCTCGAAGCGCTTGGAGACGGTGCCCCAGTTGATGACGTCCCAGATGGCGCTAAAGTACTCGGCCTTGCGGTTCTGGTACTGGAGGTAGTAGGCGTGCTCCCAGGCGTCGATGCCGAGGAGGGGCTCGAGGTTGCCGGTGACGGGGTCCTGGTTGGCGCGGGTGACAACGCTGAGGGTGCCGGATGTCTTGTCCTTGACGAGCCAGGCCCAGCCGGAGCCCTGGATGCCGGCGAGGGCGGCGTTAGTCTGCTTCTGGAGGGCGTCGAAGGAGCCGAAGTCCCCGTTGATGGCGGTCAGGAGCTTGCCCTCGGGCTCGCCACCGCCACCCTTGCTGTTGGGGGCGAGGTTCTCCCAGAAGAGCGAGTGGTTGACGTGGCCGCCGCCGTGGAAGTTGATCAAGGGTGCCTGGGCGACGACGGCTTTTGCGTCGCCCTTGGCGCTGGCCTCGGCGAGGGCCTCGAGGGCGGCGTTGAAGCCGTTGACGTACGTCTGGTGGTGCTTGCAGTGGTGGAGCTCCATGATCTGGCCGGAGATGTAGGGCTCGAGGGCGCCGTAGTCATCTGGACGCCTCAGGTCAGTGACTCTGGGTTTGAGAAGAACCGGGGAGAGGGGGAGAGAGCTTACAGGGGAGGTCGGGGAGGGTGGCCTTGCCGCGGACGAAGCTTATCGAGGCCATGGCGACGAGGGGCTTG